GGATTTTGCTCTAACCAAGAACTTTCTATATAAATATTTATCTCCCTCTAAGTTTTCTCTTTCACATCAAAGTTTCTCTGCTCTACAAACTCTTTACTGTCTTCTTCTCTCAAATCTTGAAATATGGAATACCATAGACGACATACATTTATAGATATGGATTACTCTCCAGAGCCTGTTCATTCACCCATATCAACAAATCATCTTCTCGTCGAATTCCGTTTCAAGACCACAAAACGCTTTCTTAAGTTCAATGATGTGGGACTCCTGGAATCTGTTACGGAAACTCGAGAACCAGAGACTTCGAAAACTATTTGTCTCGAATCATCTGCATTGTACTCTGATTTGAAACAATTTCTCGACGTGGAACTAGCAAGTTATGATATAACACCTCGGAGCCTTGAACAACAGCTTTCTAGTCTTCTGACTAACTTCGCACTCACGCGGTGGAAGAAGTTTATAGTTGTGGAAATAAGGAAGGTTCTTGAAACACGGTTGATTGAAAGGGCATTGCAGGAGGTGTTCGAGGAAAGTGATGGCGTCGATATGGTGCCCACGAGCATGGACGCAATCATGTCACTACAGAAGAAGGAGATGGAATATAAGAAAGATGGCATTGAGGTAGAAAGTTGCACGATATGCTTGGAAGAGATCTCAATTGGGTCAGTTGTTTCGACCTTGCCGTGCAGGCATGTATTCCACGGTGATTGCATTTCAAGTTGGCTAAAAAGAAGTCACTACTGTCCTATTTGCCGGTTTGAGATGCCTATTGCTCTTGAATAAGTCTTTCATGATGAATCTTTGCAAGATACATAGAGTTAATTTCAGATTATTATTATTTTTTTTTTTGGAATTTTCACATTAGGGTTTTATTCTGTGAATTGTCTGAGATACATGGCCGTTAAATTCAGTTGTTTTAGTTTATACTGATACATTAAACCTCTTATTCTCGATTCAAAATAAAAAAATATTCAATGAAAATCAATCAATATCTATTAACTAATGATGCGGTACGGAAACGTGAATAATAATAAAAGGGTTTTGTTCGTATCATACGAATGAGTGTTGTTTAAATTTCGCTTGAATGAATGTGAGAATTATTGAAATTCACCAAGAAAAACTGAAATATTATTTATCAAAATGAATGTAGTGCCTTAAAACCTTTAAAATTATTTAAAGAATTAAAGAGAATCATAATCAAATTGAAATCATAATTCTGTAGATACATCCGAATAAAACTAAGACATTGCAAAACAAGGATGATTATATTATCACCATAATTTTTAATTGATACCCTATATTTTAATTGCACTTAAGCACTTTAATATTTGCTCATTATAACACTTATGTTCGTAACAATTTTTCATGGCATTCTTATCTTCAAATTTTCCATTTGTTAACACATTTTGTATTATACAGCAGTTTTATGTTCAAAAGCCCGTTGAAATAACGTAAAAAAAACTTATTTTTCCATCATATTTTTAAAAATAAATAAATAAAAAGTGTGAAATAATATTTTGATATAAATCATCAAGAAGAACGAGATGTACTAACTAATGGAAGGTTGAAGAAAAGAATTAGACGGAAAAAAAGTTAAGAAAATAAATGTTATAAAGAGCAAAGATTAATAATCATGAGTGTAATTAAAAGGTGGAACAATAAATACAAATTGTAGTGTGAATATAATTTGAATAGAACTAAAAGACTGTAAAAAAAAAAAAAAAATGCTAAACGTACCCCTACATGATGGAATTTTACCCCCAAAAGTTTGATGATGTGGTCGAAAAAAATGTACACAATAGAAAAATGCTTTTGGATTATATTCGTTCGCGAAAATCAGACAACCGAGCTGAAAGTTACGCATAACATCGTATATGCTTCTTATTTTTTTTTTTTTCCAACTAATATATGATTTTCTCTTCTAACTGTTCCGCATAATTCTCGTCCACTGCAGAGCAACTCGACCTTGAGATCGGGATACAAAGGCGTATCAGAGGAAAACTCATTGGTTGAATTTGTAATAGTCAAGAGAGCTCCTCCCTTCCACTTTGGAAAACTTTTTGTGCCCTCCTTGTTGGTGCAATCGTAATTGTTTTATCCTTTCACTTAAATATATATGAGTTCTATCTACCTTTATTATGACATCCGCATCAAATTACTACGGTCTACCAAATAGAATATGACATACATCCATCTAAGTAATATCATAATAACTTCTGATTTGTAAAAGGTCCACATGGACAAAGGTAGCTTATAAATTCGAGTTGTCTAAATAAACATCCTTTATTAATCCAACCAATGTGATATACTCAAATGTGTCGATTGGAAGCTTCAAATGATCCACCTGTTTCTTGGGGATTTGAATCTCACAACTGCAACTATCTATGATCAGACTATAGACAACATTACAGACTTTGCACTTGGCCTGAAATTTCTTTTTCCTACGCCATGTTAACTCTTTCTGATTGGACGAGCATAAGATTTTCTGCCCAAAGCACCCAAAGTCTCATTGTTCTTCTCTACACACTTCATCGATGTACCCTTCCTCCGGATCATTGATCCTTTGAAAACCACAAGTGCACGAAATCATGATCAAGTAATATAATGATAAATAGAGTGTTGAACCCATGAGAATTAAGTGTTTGATTGAGTTAAAATTAATTTCAACTTTAATCGAATAATAAACAAATTTTGTGATTTTTTTAT